CAAATCTGTCCAGTTTCTGTACCAATCACGACGTTGATTTCATCGATCGATACGACACATGTAAATGTGCTGTCCACCATTGGCCCCAGCAGAACATTGCGGCTTTGCAATGGTACGGGTCCGGGGCTTGACGGAGGTGCTTCGGACGCACGGTACCGCAATCTCCTGGTAGACGACTGTTTTCGCGCGCCTTGTATCTGCCAGAGTCGAACACACCTCGTTCCGACGGTTATGACATGGTTGCCACACCAGGTCATATCAAAAATGTTGGCAGTGCACTTGTTCGCCGAATGCAAACTCAGCTGGCCGGTTTTGGCATTACAGGACCAGACAAACAAGAATCCATCCTTGTAGTCGCCCAGGGTGGCCAAATGCTTCGTGTCAGAGCTAAAAGCTATGCACCTCAGGCCGTACGTATGATCCGTGATGATGGAAGTGGGTACCTCACAGGACGCTTCGTCAGCTGTTGAAAACAGCAGAACCCGAGGGTTGTATCCAGCCTCCCCTACTGCAAGCCAGTGGCCATCACGGCTCAGAGCCACACAGGCTGCGGTTTTGATGCGCTCCCTTGCTGTCCAAGTCTGCCCTGATGACTCGTCTACCCACTCGCGGGCTGCGGAGCCACCGGTATAATCCTCCAGTCCTTTTCGAGGAGTAAATGTGCTGATCCTCCTCCTGGACGGCGTGGTAGCCGGCGAGCTTTCATAATGAGAAGTCGGAGGGTTCAGTGAGCCCGCAGTCGGTCGAGCTTTGAAATATCGGAGTGCAGGTGTATGGTCCAAACCAAGCCTCGCCAACACGGCTACTGCGCCCGCACAATAGGCGTACGAGCTGGTCTTGGGACAGCATGCCAGCCCACTGGGACCATTCGTGGTTGTCCCAATCACCCTCTGCAGTTGTAACGCATAGTCTGTAGAGCGGGCTTTGCGAGGTAGTCCGAAACCGGCTTTAGGGATGGGTGAAGGGAGCGGGCTCGAGCGGAGGGAGGGGGACTGGTTGTTCAGCCTGCTTCGAAGACTATATGGCTGTGAGGACATGATTCACATTGCGGGTCATATGTCGCTTCAGGACGAGAGGAGAAGCATCGGGTGCCGACGGTGAATAGGCAAAGTAGAGACGACAAATGCCCAGCCGCAATCGTCATTTAATCGCGAAATTATCGGCGGTGTGGTCTCGCAGGGGTCGAGTCATCCAGGGCCGTCAATACCACTCCTCCCACTAAAATAATGTTCACTCGCCCATGGAGGTGGCCTGCAACCGAAATGAGCGAAGCAACTCGGTGAAACGAGTTGGAAATGGTTGTTGTGAAGATCATGCATTGATGGTGGTGGTTGAACGCACTTTCGCAATCTCGTGTTTACATTCCTTCCCGATACGGGAAAGGCAGACGACGCCACTTTCCTCAGCCTCATAAAGTCTTGGCTGTGGCGCTGTTTTCTACAGTATAAAGCTCAAGCCGGGACATCTACATAGAGTCAAAACAATGGGCAGTTGGCAGTGTCGATCAATTGTGAAACCATTACATGTGTACGTTGTCATCAGTAAATATACAAGTCCGTAGAATCAAAGTCGCCAACGTCCTCCTCTCCAGTCCCGCCCCGTCGCAAGCACAATTGACGTTCAAGAGTTCTCAAAAAAGTCGCTACCACAGTCGTAGACAGCTCTCAAGAGATCCACAACATTCTCAGGAAAGTCAAGGATGCTATCAAGCGTGAAGCTGAAGGACCCTGATATGGACCAGGCTGCCTGCGATCCACAAATCGTAGGCTCAGACCTCGTCACATCTGTGAGCCAATACACAAAGTCGTCGGCCTTGAACAGGAAAATCGGGGTCAGGAGGAGAATGGTCTCCGGTTCGTGGCGCAGGATCCATCTGAACAGGACAGTGAATTGATACCAGTTCAATTCCTGTTGGGTGGCAGGTGCTGAAGCGAGTATGTCGGCCTTTTGGGCTTTGGACCATTCGGTAGCGGTGGCTTCCGCCAATCCCCAAGCATAGTCGTGGTCCTGCATTGAGAGTTAGAGAGAAATCTGCACTGTGAAGAATAGAGAGATGGTTGGGGCACGAGATAGACACAGCAATAGGCGTACCTGTCTTGTTGTGTACGTCCCATCTCGCATGCCGATGAAAAAGTCCCTCCACAGTGTGGTACCAGGATTTCCACCAGTGTCCGTGCTGAGACCGAGGGCCATGGCACCGCCGCGTTGGATGGCCTCGACGATGCCCGTATCTACGTAACTGATCCAACTGTTCGGGGCGCCGAGGTTCTTGCCGATGAAGAAGGTGATGACTCCCTCAATGGCGCGGAACTGGTTGGCAGAGTTCAAGGGACCAAACCATTGACTCTCCATGTATTGCACGAATGCCAAGCGTTCTTGCATGGTTGAAGACTGGATCTGGTCGAACGTGCAACTGAGTGTCTGCTGGCAAGCTGGCCATCCAGCCTGGCGCGTTTCGAGAGATGGTATCGCTGAGCCCATGGCTGTCGCGAGCAGAGGCGCTACCGCCACAAGTGCTTTTGAGAGACGCATGTTTAGTTGCCTGTTCTTGTGCAAATGAGAGAAGAAGCAAGATGTGACAGGCTACTCAAAGAAAGATGGTGCCTGTAGGTACTTTCCAACACAGGCGGGAACCATGGTAGGTTTTAACCTGCACAACCTCCATTTTGTGTAACTGATCTATTTTGCACCTCTACCAACAGAGGCATCTTTTCTGGATGCGGGCGGTGTAAGCGAGAAGAGAGCAAGACAGAGGAAATTGCGATAACAGGGATTTTAGCGAACAAGGCTCCAACTTCGTCTAAGGACCGATCTATCTCAAGTTGTCGACTCCACGGAGGGGCTGGCGCGACAGCTAGCCCGGCTACTTGTAAGTTGGGTTTCTGTACTCGGTAGTGGCAGCTATGGACAGTGAGCTCCTTGGTCACAGAGAGTATCTTGGAAAATGTAGGCTGAAAATTTGACTGACGAGCATGAAGTCGATTTGACAGGCACTTTAACATCTCGATCTCGTATTCTCACGAAGGTTACACAAAAGAATGACGACGTCGCACGGTTCGGGCCCTCGGAACGGCACGACGAGGGGTGGTTGATAGGCGAGAACAGCTGTCCTGTGCGGAAGACGAGCCCAAGAAATGTGGCTGAAACACCCCAGGCTGGGGCTACACCAAGCTCAGGGGAGTAGAACTCAATATCTTGGGGTGCCTAGGTACTCTCTTTGTCTCTAGAACAGGGAAGTCAATTTACAAGTAATCAATCATTTCAGGCCTTTGCTCGTCGCAATAGCAATAGCGCTGAATATCGCAGTGAGACATGCACTATCTCAAAGGGCCGGAGAACGCCTCAAGCAACGAACCTACCTACCTTTCCCTCGTTCTCTATAACGTGTACGTAAACTCAACGAATACTCGGCGCTGTTCATCCGTGCCTCATTTCACAGACAAAGACACTATTGCAGAAGTGGCGGGGTCTACAGAGGACCTGTTACTCGATTTTCCTAAGCTCCTTCGGGGGTGACTGAGCCACGGTTCTCCGGGTATTGGGGCGAATTCCAGGAGGAGAGTACTAAGGCGCATGCACGGGGCATTGCACGCACGACTTTGAGGATCCCACCCGTGATGCTCACCTTAAAGAGCCGTGACTTATTGAGGAATTGAAGACACCATCGCCGTTGGATCTGGTCGGGGTTCCAGGGATTGTCGAGTCTGGATGGACGATGATACGTTGTTGCAGTGCGCGCCCTTGACAGTCATGTATGTGGCATGAGACGCAGCACGGTCTTCTCAGTTGCACATTGACCACAGTAGTGACTTTCAATCACTCAAAGATGCCAGGTAAACCATGTTGGGCCATTGAGGTAGTGAGCCAGCACCAGCACCAGCTGCGATGTCAAGGCTGCACAAGGCTGATTGATGACCACCACCAAGGAGCCACAGGAGCGGACTTGTAAGGGTAAGAATAACGAACCGAATTCGACTGCCGTTCTACTTGCCCCGGCGAGTTCCGACGATCAAGTAAGCGCTCAGGCACTGTATTGTCGCTCTTATTATTGTAGGGTTCTCACTCCCGATCCTCCCGACGTGAGATGATTTGTTGATGGCTGTCAAAGTAGTTGATTGCGGGGGAGAAAATACTTGTTAGTTGTTGCGTGACTTGGCTGCTTGGGCAATAATAATCAAGGGCTGCTGGTCATTCAGTCAGTCCGTCACGGCCATACCACAAGGGAAAAAAAAGGAAAAAGTTATGATTGGTGGAGGTGGTGGTGGTGGCACCAAATAGTGGCATGACAATGACATATGCCGATCCTCCTCACTCCGCAAAAACACCCAAGCACCCAAGCAACAAACAAGCACAAGCACAAGCACCTGATGGCAATCACTCCACTTATCGACTGATTATTTACAAGCACGCAAAGGTACATACTACGTGAGTACTCCGTAGGAGAACTCTTAGGTGGGTAGTGACATTATTGCACAGTGGTACACACGTCTTGCGGCATTTTCCACGTTTGTTGCGCTTACTTTCTTGTCCCCCGTACTTGTAACCTGCGGTACTTGGTAGAAGGATTTGGGGGGGTGGTATGATCATGACACCAGTGTGGTGTGCTTGCTTGCTTGATGTCCTTCCCTACCCTCCGCAGCCCTTTGCACTCTGGGCCGGAACACGTATGGGCTGAAAAGGGGAAATGAAGGGACAAGAGTATATAAGGGGATGGGTTGGGGCTGGCTCTCCAGTACCTTTTTTACAGATTCACATCGACATCAACATCGACAGCAACAACCCATTGCATTCCGTTGTAAATATAACCCTATTACTTTGGGCAAGACTTCCGGAAAAGACAACAAAAGCGGCTCCGCCTACGAAACGAAATCAATAGAATTCACTTTTGAGATAAAATATCATCGACGACCCAAAGCAAAGGGTCTCGTCTCGACTATATCAGATCCATTACCACTTCCACTCCCGCTCCCAACACCGAAATCTAAACAAAACATATCAAAATGACGACCCCTCTCGTCTGGAGACCATCGCCAGTGTCCATGGCACGACACAACATGCAGTTCGCCGGCTTCTTCACCGCCTTCATGATCCCCTTGGGCCTGTTCATGTGGGGTGTCCGCGACCCAGCCAGCGTCGCCGAAGCCAGGAAGAGAGCCGCCCGGTTTCGATCGATAAAAGCATAAAGAATGAAGGATGGAGCCAGGGAGAAAGAACACCATGAACTCCTGAATCATCATCATCAACATCAGAAAATAGACAATGGGTGTCGATGGAGGAAGTGGCAGGCGGCACCTTTTGGTCCGTCTTGTCCTATACCTGCGCTATGTGCCAGGTAGGCGTTTTTAGGTCTCGAGGTCGAGATCAAGGTCAAGGTTTAGCAATTGGAGTCGGTGGCCTCTCAGCATGTATATATCATATATATCAAATAGGGTATAATATATATACCCCGAACTGTGCTTCATTCGTCCCATTCCATTTTTGTTCAGGTATAATCGCAGGCTGGGTTCACCGCCGCTGTTGACGTTATGGAACTCTCGTCCGCCTGCCATGCTCTCTCCCTTCCAATCCTTTTTCATTCTCACCGTATTGCTTTCTAAGCCACCCGCTCGCGACTCGCCCTCTTTTCACCTCGGTCTACCTTTCGGTTCAAGGCGGCTTCTCCTTCGTCCGGCCTTGGCAGCGTCAAGCCCAACCATCACCAGTTCTGGATCTTCAGAGGTCTTCCTCGCCCTTGTGGAATGTGCCTCTTTCTCACGACGGCTTGACTCTGTCGAGGGTTCTTTATGATCGATTCTGGGTTCAGTAGCCCATGCCAAGATACGTGGTCGACTCCCAGACCTACTTGCACATGCACGGAGGCAATAGTCTAAAAGAGGCTCCGATGGCGTCGGAGGACCTCTCCGCGGAGGTCTTCGCCCGAGAGGAATGTCCCAATTATCCTTTTCCGATGCTGTTGCCTTCCAATAAAAAAATAAAAAAAATACCGGATACCGCTTCATTGAAAAGAGATGGGTGGGTCTAGAAGTGGAATACATTGCCGACGTCCAGTGGAACACCAAAGCATTTCAGAATCTCGTGACAGAGGAGGACGCCAAGGATCTACTCGAAGCCCTGAGCACGAATCAGCTGAAGATTGAGACGTTGACCGATTTGATCGTCGGTAAAGGGACCGGCTTGATCGTCTTGGAATACGGGGGACTAGGCACGGGCGAAACTTGCACGGCCGAGAGTGTCGCCGACTATGCACAGAAGCCTCTGTATCGCGTGACATGCAGAGACATTGGAACCGAGCCCGTCGAAGTCGAGAAGTACCTGGAGACCGTGCTTCGCCTCGGCCATCGCTGGAGTTGCGTCGTCCTCCTGGACGACGCGGACATTTTCCTGGAGGAACGGACACTCGCGGACCTGAGACGGAATGCTCTCGTGTCCGTCCGTCTTCCTGCGCGTCCTCGAGTACTACAACCGGTCCTCAAGTATGCAGGTAGGTAGACGTGGATTTATCGAGTACAGGCACAGAGGCAGAGGGAGAGGCGACCCGGATCAGGGTTCCGCCAAACCTCCACTGTCACGAACAAGGCTCTCAACCCCTTATTGCGAATCTCTGTGCGCTTTTTTCCGAGGGGCTGGCTTTCACAGACCACAGATCGAAACGTACGTACATACTTGGAAATGTTCGGCTCACTGCGGAACCTCGCTCTTGTCGCGTCTCTTTGGCTGGACATGATTACATACCTCCAGACTCCAGACTCCAGACTCTAGTAACAAGTAGTAACAAGTAGGCGGGTAGGTATCCATCCCCTCTGGAGCCTGAACTCTGGACTCTGGACTAGTAGTAGTAATCGGTACCTGTACTCGTAGTCATAGCGTGCCTGGTGAACGGTGCACGGTTTTGTCTCCAAATATAAACCGACCACTGCACGCAACCGTCATGCTATAATGCAATGTGGATGGTTTTTCTTGGACTGGCGTGGCTGGCGTGACTCGGGCTGGGCGCTTACTTGTCCTCGTACTGCCCTACTTGGGCCCTCCCTCGCCTCCTGGTCTTGGTGTAGGTACCTAGGTACCTACATAGATACTACAAGGAAGAACTAGGTAAATAAACCAGCCTATTCGCTCGCAGGATGATGTCATTGCCACGTGTTTTCTTCTTCTTCTCATTCTTCGCCTTTTTTCGTCTTTCCCTAGCTCCCAAGGCTCCCTACAAGCAGGCAAGGTAGGCAGCATTTTACCTTCTGGCTATTACCTACTCGCCGGTCGCCGGTCGCCGGTCGCCTGTCGCCTGTCGCCCTACTTGCCCACTCGCCCACTCTCCATATTTGCACTCGGACCTTTTCACCCACAAAGCTGCCAAGCAGCCAAGCAGCCTCTCGGCTACTCTCCTCCTGGGAGTAAATAACCTTCCTGGTCCACGGCTAGTACAAGTAACGGAAAGAGATAGAAAAAGATACACGATCGGGAAACACGAAAGATGAATGGTGGATGAAGGTCGGCAGAGCCTTGGCTGTCATCTCTGTATCTCCCCAAGTGCCTGTAGGTACACGTTACTGTCGAGCTGGTACTGTTGGTATAGAAGGAGTACCGAGTACGAAATTTTGGCAACAAAACTCTTTCTCTCTCTCACATAGACGCACAGTTCATAAGTGTTTGGGGCTGATTATTCGCAGCAGGATGTAACTAGCATGGGTATCCAGAACTGTACTTTTACTGACCTCGGCAGGTAGGTCGGTAGGTAGAGAGATAGATAGGCAGATACTCGGTCCCCGCTCGTCGTGATCAACCCGAACCTCGCTCCGGGATGTCCCAGATAATAGGTCTTACTTACCGCTCTCTCACTTGCTCACCTCATTCCTTTGGCTAGAAAATGTATGAGGTATGTATGTAAGCCTCCATATTAGTTCCTAACAAATAGCCCCCCAGGTCGGGAGAAATATCCCGCAGGCGGGCGAGGGCGATGCGGTGCGGTCTGATGATGGCTAGGTACGTCGTGCCCATGTCCACCACCTTACAGTACTGTATATCCGGCGGACATGTCAACGTGAGGGATGGTGGTTCGATCCGTCACGCTTGGTACTCGGTATGCTTGAGCCAAGACATTTTACCTCCCCCACTACCAAGCAGCTCTTGGGCTGGCGCTCGTATTGCCTTTTGGAAATTAACCGAGAATGGAAAATGGTGACTGGCACGTGGGATGGGTCCAAATGGGGGGGGCCAGTGGGCACACCAGTGGTGCGGGATGCGGATGCGTTGCGTGTGAGCTGGTGCATGTTCAAAAAGGGAGCAAGAAGCGAGTACGTCTTGGTCCATGCATGGCAAGAGAGATGCCGATCAATTGCTGCTTTTCTCCCTACAGGCGAAAGCGCAAATACCACCTTGGGCAGCGCTATCGAGATAGTGATACAACCCCATTGACGAATAAAAGGGCTTCGGAGTATCAAAGGACATAGTACGGAGTAGATGCTTCAAGCTAACCCCACCCGGATGCCCAGTCTCTGGGCGTATTACCCTTGCTTCTCGTAATTCGGCGGGGCAGGGCGAATCACAAACGACATCGAGGCGGGACGTCTGGTTGAAAAGGGAGAGTGGGCATGAGTGGGCGCGCGCGGGTGTGGTGGGATAGTGCGGATGCATGCTGACATGATCCCCCCAATGTCTTGGGTGCTTGGGAAAGTCTTGAGGCTGCGGCAAGGGGTCAAGTATACCTGCCGCTTGGTGAGTGGAGGGTTTTGGGCAAGGAGGTGTAGCAGCGTGATAACTTACTCGGTCAACTTGGTGACTTGGTAGGCATGCACCCTTACCAGACCAAGGTCGAGTCGATGTGCTCGAAACGTCGTCGCACAGTCAAGCCCACGTGTGTGATGAGCATCCCTCCTTTGAGTTCCTCGCTTGGAGAACGCCGGGGGCGCTCATCCCCATCGGGTTATTCTTCGGTGCTCACTTTTGGATAAAACTGAAGGTTTCGAGGCCCCGGGTAGACAGAATCCCAGCCCGTGTCCAGGGGTGTGAAAGTGAGAAGATGAGAGCCCAGAGACGATACTGGCAAGGTGCATCAGTATTAGACTTCGTGATATACGAATACTTGTGCCCTGGTTCTGGGAGCTCTTCGCGAGGGGCGGTTAAAGTAGGTGCACATCCCCGGTTGCCCTAGGCGTAGCCTGCCGGGTACCTCATACAAAGCCTAGGGATATAGTGATCATCCCTCGGGACCGCCCCTTGTTGATAGACATGGGCCGTCGCTCGCCCAAACAGGACAACGAGCAAAGGCCGAATCTCCAGAACCGAGCAGCCGTGGGAGTCCGTCATCGAGTAAAAGCATTTGTTTGCTGAAGCCGGAGTGAATTTCCAAATTCTGGGATGAATGATTCCTTCTGCCCGTATGGCCGGCCGGGAATTATAGAGCTCAAAATAGTTTTGACAAGGCAACAAAGGGTAATAGAGACGACCAACCCCTGGCCCCAGCGTCCTGGTAGGGCAGCAGCTGAGCAGCAGCTGAGCACCGAAATGTTCCCCGCGTTCGCCGTCCTAAACCCCTCGATCATTCCGGGCCAGGGAAATCCTGTAGCGGAACCGACCACGGTTTACTTTGGGGATCGGACGCCTCGACGCCTCTCTTGAGTCAACCAACTGCGAGGGCCGGGGACCTCGCCTGTCGAACAAGGGAACAAAAAGAAAGAGAACTAGCTTTCCCAAACTCTTTTTGTGAATGCCGTCTTCAGGCAATGGTCTTTTTAAGTTTGCGTACCAGAAAGGCAGTGCTCGGGAACGGCATCCAGGGTGTAGTAGTTGGTCTCTCTGCGAAATTGCGAGAAAGATGTCGGTGTACTTTGATGGAGGTATCACCTTGTAGTACAAAGATTATTTGATGAATGTTTCAAACCGGCACGGCGTTGCCGGCCTGCCACCCTGTTGATCCGTGCGTCCTTTGAACCGCTGGTATTCACATTCGCAAGGCTCCTGCGAAAGCTGTCGATAACCCATGTAGAAGGCATGCAAAAGGGCTTTACTCTCCCAGTTCTCCTTCCATAGGGACCCCCTTTTTTTCCTCCCTCCCTAGGGAACCCCTAGCGTACCACATGTTCCATCAAAGTGTAGTCGTGCAGAATACCAAAAGTTATTCCGTCCATGCTCGCGCGGTGCGCGCCTTCGCTCGCTCAAGTGCAATCGACAAAACCCAAACACAAAAAAGAAAATCCAGCCCGTGTAGGTAAGTAGATATTCAAGACCTCTGTAGAACGCCAGTTGAAAGTTGCATCCCCTTTCCATTGCCCGTTGGTGATAACGACTATGCTACAAGGAATCCTCAAACGAGTGTAGGGCAAACTCCGAGTTGAGGTCCACAGCATTCTTATCAAAATAGCATTCTGGTCCGTTGTAAAGCATATTGTCGTGGGTGGAGAAGGCATCGAACTTGTCGAACTTGTCTGGCATCAGCATCTCGCTGAAGGACTGGTCTTGACATGATCGCAGGGCGTTGAGCTCTGCTGTCAGTTCGGCGATTCTGCCATTGAGCTTCGAGACCTCGTCGGCTTGTCTGGTATATGACTGTAGCAGGTCTTGGTGCTTCTCATGAAGATCTTCCAATTGGCGCTCAAGGCCCTTGACATGTTTTTCTTTCCTCTCGCGGAAGGCCCGTTGAGATGCGCGATTTTGAGCACGTCGTCGCTGTCATTGAAGTCAGTAAACCTTGCCAACAGAGTATAGTGGGTAGTGGGAGACGAACCAGGTGCATGTTTGGAATGGTTTCCTTGTCCTTGGCTGTGGGGGCTGAAGTGCTGCCAGATCGTCGTCGTCTTCGGTCGGTCTGATCAATGGCTGCGGCGTTGTTGTATTCAACGGGGATCTTGTTCGTCTGATTCGCGGGATAAAACGATGCCGGCGTTGTTCCATATGGGAAGAGGTCATACTGCATGGGGGCGTTGTTGAACATGATTTGACTCATCTGCTTCGGCGAGGATTAGCGGTCGAAGGGTTCCATACGGTGGGGGTGGACTTACACGAGGCGAGTTGGGACTTGACCCTTCAGAGGTGCTGTCGAAGTATTGTCCGGCGGTGAAAAGTGATTGACTTGGTGATTGACTCGGGGAGCTCACAAAGCCAAAGTCCATGTTGATATTTCGATCCCAGATCGACGTCATTCGAGGGACCAGGTGGTCTGAGGACGAGGTCTTTATCTTTTCTGGGACTCTCAGAGACCCGGATCTTGAACTTGAGTAAGCGTCGAGTATGTAAGATTGAACAACCCCAAAGAAATATTCTTGGACTGTGTTTGGTATTTCATCAATGTCAGATGCGGTGGAAAATCGATGGACTGGTTCAAGGGGATTGAAGATATAATTCGCCTTTGGGGGGGGGGGATCTGGCTAGGGCTATCCAGGGCCCAGCGGCGCTAGAGGGGCATACGAGGATTAATTGTTCTGCCATGGTCTTAATCCGCATGAGAGCAAGCACCCCGGTATCGTTAGCCCCGAGAATCACGAACTGATCGCTTGCAG